ACTATCCAGCATCATGAATTGTTTGTGTAACTTCACACCAGATGGCAAACTCTTTTATGTTAATTCCCTGAGAAAGGCAACAAAACTTAGAATAGTCCAGAATATACTTTCTGAGGAAAATCAAAAACAGGAGTGAGTTGCGGATCACTCTGCAAATAGTATCCAAGGCAGCTGTAAGCAAGAGCATGGCTGGTTTGCCGACAAGCTGCTAGTTTCTGAACGAGCAAAGCAGGACTTGGGTTATACACAGACATTAAGGTTTGCTGTTTGTGAGGAGCACAGGTTAGGAGTTACAGGAACAAAGCCCTGTGAGGCACCCCAAGTTGCAGAACTGTAGGGATAACATATTAATGTATTGAAAATGATGCCCCAAATGGAAGTGACTCCCCATAATTTGTTCCCCACAACTTAGTGTTTAGATTTATTATTATTATTAGTTAAGATTGTTAAATGTTTAGATTTATTATTGCCCCTTTAGAATATAATGTATTAGGTCATGTAACTTAGAACTGTTAAGAATATAATCCTATGTAGCCAGAAACAGCCCCCCGCCCCTGTGTCCCAGGGCATGCTCAAGCTTGTGCAAGGGGCTGCTTGAAATTGACATTGCAGAGATACATTGTAACAATGCATTGTCAAGACACTAACTCTGCTATGGGAGCCAAGCCCTGTAATTGACTAAGGGCATTGTTACATAATTGACGCCTGTTCTCTTTAAAACATTGTAACTTTACTCAGCACTCAGAGAATGTTTTAAGCAATACCACCCAGAAACTTTTTGTAACTACAACTCTGATATATGTAAAGTTATTATTATACAAAAATATTGTATGGGAAACATTAAAAAAGGAATGTATGTAAGAGAGAGAGTGCTTGGATGATGAATGAATGGTTCTGAGAGGTGCCAGCCTGAGACTACAGCAACAAAGGGCTGAAGAAGGCGTCAGGTGCCAGTGCAACCAAAAGGTGTCAAGTGGAGAAAACCAAGTACTGGAGGTCCACCCGATGAAATCACTGACGAGCACCTGGCAGCCACCCTGAAGACATCGGCATGATGCAGCAATTTCCATAGACTGGCATAGGAAAAAATTCCTATAAGAACTGGACTAAAAAACTATGGAATCGGAGTCCAAGGTTCTGCTGCCAGCCCACCAGGAGCTTCAGATGCGCATCTGATCAGGACTTCGCTCCCCACTACCATCACTTGTGTACAGAGTACCTGGCCACAGAACCTGAATGAATGAATGTTTATATGTATAAGGGTTAAGTAGTTAAACAACGTTGTTTGCTTCTATCTTTTCTTTATTTTTTTTATTATCTTTACAATAAATGTGGCTTTTTGCCTTATCCCCCTCATAAGATCCTGCTTGCTTTTATTGGTATAACAGAACAACTGCTGGTACAACTGCTCTGGATTGCAGGTGGGAATGCCAGTTATTTTTGCCCCAGAACAAACATCAGAACCACAACTTTTAATTGTGTTACTACACAGGTTACTTATGTTTAATCTCTAGAATTTTGGTACCTCATTTGTTAATTCATCATGACATTTTCTACATCCTGACTGAACTATCCACCAATTAGGGATGTTACATTTAGATTAATCAGCTAATCAAATAGTTGATAAGGCGAAAGCACTATGGGGAGCACAGGGACTCAAGTAGCCCCCCACTGGCGTGGGGCAGCATGTGGCGTTTCAAATCAGCAGCAATGAATATAGCCCGGGGTCAGCTGAGGACTGAGTCCACAGCTGACCCTGGGCTTCACATGGCCCTGTTGCTTGAAACGCCCATGCAGCCTGGGGCCAGCTAGAGACTTCCCAGCTGGCCTTGGGCTGCAGGCAGAATTTCAAAGAGGCAGCACCAGGTGGATCCCAAGGTCTGGCCTCAGGTTCCATGTGGTACTGCCGCTTTGAACCACTTCCTCCTCCCCTCCCCTCCTTTGCTGCCTCTTTCTGATAGAGTACTATTTTAAAACAATTCACCTCAACAAAGAGGAAGTCTTTTTTTAAATTTAAACACAGATTATTTCATTTCAGAGGTTTTACATGGAATTAAAATGGAGAATCAAATTAAACAGTGGTTGAAATAAATGGAAAGCATACTTTGGCTACAACTGCTTGTAATTAAATTCTTTCCTCCTTTCCCCAAATTCTTGTTGGGATGTAAACATTCCCCTGCTATGCTAGAAATTCTAATACTGCAATATTGTGCCTGGGAATAAGAAAAAGTGTTAATTAAACAAAGTAAAAATAGAACACACCCCAATTTAAACAATATTCAGTTTTAATTATTTAAGAAGTCCATTGCTAAACACCCATTAGTGTGCAGGACAGCAAGGTACTATTTAGTTCTGCAATAAACAATGTTTTCCAGAAGAAAAAAACAGAAATGTGGAATGCCCACCAGTAATTAGCATGATATCTGTCCATATACTAAAGATGGATGATTTGACTTGATTAATGCTTTGTAGGCTTTGCTTTAGTGAAGTCCAAACCTACAAACACTTATGCCAGGAGGAACAAAATGTAGTCTTATATATGCTTTTCTACTCCGACTGGCAAAGTCGTGTCATGCAAGGTCTAGATCTTACAGGAAAAAATACAATAAGAACATCACTCATAGTTGAGCTATCTCGAAGTACTACTTGCTACAGTCCCTGCAGAGATATGCAAGCTGACTTGGCACCTTTTCAGACAATACCTGAACTGCTAGCCCTGACAGAAAACTAGCCAAATGTTCCAGTATGAAGGGGGCAGGGGAGGACTTTAAAGTAGCAGTTGAAGCCACATCCAGATCATGTATGATACTCTCCCCACCCCTGCATACAAGAGCTCAAAGGTTATCACTGTGCTACAGTCAAGTGTTTGGACAACAGAGGTTTCCCTAGATATAGCTCAATCAGCTAGAAAGGGTGATAAGAGAAGTTTGACATTATCCTGACCTGACTGATAATGTCAATTTTATTTTTCAAATGCTCAAAATTAATTTCTACCCAGAATATGTGAAATTATCCGAAGTGTTTTTATAGTGAAGAAACTCCATTCAATTGGTACTGTCTGTACTATATCCTCACTCTTTTAGCCATTTGACACCACCAGCTATTTGGCAAATCCCTTTGGATACCTTAATTCTTGTCTATCTCATTCTACAGAAGAGGCAACACGCTTGGTATTGTCAGAGTTGTTGCATCTGGCACTTTTTCTATTTTCAGTGTTGCAAAGGGCACAGTGAAAATAACCATCAATGTCAAACCAGAACACTGAAAAGTACATCTGAGAAACAAGTTTTCTGTCTTGCTAGAAATCAGAAATAACACTGTATCTGGAGTTAGCTCAAGAAGTACATAGACTGGGGCCTGCTTGACTACTTCAGAATCCCATTATTCTTTAATGGTGTAGATTCTTCCAAGCAAGGCAGCTAATGCAAACTAAGGCTATGTCTAGACTACATCCCTCTTTCAAAAGAGGGATGTAAATTACACAGATCAAAATTGTAAATGAAGCCGGGATTTGAATTTCCTATGCTCATTTGCATAACGATGGCCACATGTTCTTTCGAAAATGGGTATTTCGAAAGTGAAACTGCTATCTAGACACGGTTCGTTTGGGAAAAAAACCCTCTCTCAAAAGATCCTGTACTCAAAAAACGAGGTTTTCAGGATCTTTCAAAAAAGGTTTTTTTCCCCAAAAGAACTACATCTAGACAGCAGTTTTACTTTTGAAATACCAGTTTTCAAAAGAACACATGGACGCCATTATGCAAATGAAGCACAGGAAATTCAAATCCCGGCTTCATTTGCAATTTCCATCTAATGTACATCCCTCTTTCAAAAGAGGGATGTAGTCTAGATATGCCCTTAGGGTTCTGAGCATTTTAAAGTATTTCCAACTAGAGACTCCTTCATGTTTGTGAAACTTGGCAAAGAAAAAGTGCAATGCACGCAACAGGGATTACTACTAAATAAGGACACTATGACTTCAGTGTTCATTGGGGAAAAAGCCAGTCATTCCTATGGTTATAAGTGTCATTATCTGCCTGTCTGCCAGAGAATACCAGATCATGCTCATCAAGGTGAGCCATAAGTAACTCACTGCTGAGGATAGCAGAAGGATGTCTAGGGCTGAGTTGAGAAAGTTCAGGGAAAATCTACTGGAGGGCAATTAAGTTCAGAGGCGGTGGTAAAGCTAAGTGTTTTCCACAGACCCTGGAGGGAACACCAGTGCTTCTTACCCAATGCTTCTCCAACAAAAATAGAGTACCACTTATGATGGCATTAATGCTAACCATTTTACTGGTCAGCACTGCAGAAATAGTTATGGGTGGGAGACAACATAAATTCCTGCACTCAGCAATCATAACACAAGCAGGAAGAAAAGGAAGGTAGAGAACAAAAAACCATGAAGTTCAAAGCCATCCTTCCTCATCATCTGGACAATGCAGTCAATAAAGCAAGCCTGTTCAGTCTCAGAGCTATAAAATTACAAATCACATTTTGCTATACTAGGCAGGCCACTGATAAATGGAGTACTTGTACTTTTGGGACTTTAAAGAATAAACTTAAAAGTACATCATGAATTATCAAAGCACAACTGTAAGGCATACCAACTTCTGTATAATAGGAGGCAGATTGACAGGCAGTGTAAACTATCATAGCTCTACTTAAGTAAATGGAAAGAGAATTTACACCAACTGAGGATTTGGCCCCATAACAGTTACGGCACTAGCAAAACCCTTGTAAAACATATCACACATAGCCAACTTCAAAATAAACAAGCAACTACAAATCCAAAGTATTTTCTCTAGATGATCCTAGTAAAAAATGTTTCCATGCATAAAAAGATTATGCTGCACCATTACAAAGAAAGAAAAAAAACCCAAACCCACAAGTGATCCAAGAGGCATAGTGCAAGACTCAGTAAAAAGACATGGAAAGCAGGTGGAAAATTAAAGTGACATGGCCGCACTAGAAAAGAACAAAAATGAGTCTAAGGCAAAAAGTTAAACACAGCATTTTTATATACAAATTTATTTAGATGAGGTCTCAAACATTTTAAATATGAATTTACAAACATTTCAAGTTAGTGCATAATATTGTTGTGATGAACAAGAATGGGAAAATAGAGCAGATAATGGTCGATTTTCTGAAACCTAATACTATCACCTTGATCATATGTCCTAGTATGTGAAGGGGAAGAGAAAAACAGAACACTGAAACAACAAAATAATAAAATCATGATCTATTTAATCTAACTTTCATTGACACCAGACAATAACTATTCACAACCTGATATTTACAATGCTCGATATGCTACTGGGAAGTGTATTGGGTGCTATTGGGATGCATGGAAGAATAACTTATGTCATCTCTATGTGCGGTGAAGAAGTATGTCTGAACATCATATAGCTTTTTTGAAGGTGCCAATGGAAGCTAATGCTTCATTTTTCCCTCAGAAAAAGAGGAACTATTGTGTGAATCTTACAGAAGAATTGTCAATAGCCTCCAATATATTGAATGAAGGAAATTACTTTAACTCAATACATGTTGTGGCAGATTTTTTCATGAAATGGCAAAGTTAATAAAGACAAAATATTAAAAACTTCTAAATGAGTGTGCTACATAGATTTTGAAATATTCAAATGTGATCTTTTAAGGACCCAGAACAGCACAAAATAGTTTGCTTGAATGCGAGTGAACAATCTGGTAATTACAATAATCACTTTAACTTCTTTTTTCAATGTAGGATTTAGAGTAGGATTCCCATTCCGGAAGTTGTTTCAGACATCTTTCAATGGCGGTTCAATCATTTACTCTCCTAAATCTCTGCCCCTTTTGGATAGTCTGTGCCAAATGCTGCACTGCAAGTATTGCTACTGTCCAACAAACTGTTTTGATTGTAGTCCATTGCTACAACTGTTGGTTGGGTAAAATCAATCTCCAATGTCTTCTTTAGCACAGCATACAATGCAGCAAAAGCAGAGAAATGGATGCATTAGAATACCTGAGCTCCCCTTAGACAACAACGGAGTCAGGCTGTTGGTACCTATAAAAAATTCTGTATTTAACAAATGTGCGCACACATAAAATTTAGTCAGTCAGTTATAGTACATAACTCACCAATTTAGTTGGACTGCCCTTCCAACTAGTTTTCTCCTTGAATGTAGTATACAAAATTTTAGAAAATTCCCTAAAAATAACTTAGACATAAAAGTTGCAAGAATTTGTCTGTTGATTGTACTGTCAACTATCAAAACCAAAATATCATTTCTCACTGTAGCCCTTAAAAACTGTTTCTTGATTGCTTCTTTATGAAGTAAAGAATGCCTCAAGTGTTTTAGTTTTTTTAAGTTCTACTCATTTTTACATTAGAAATATCTTGATCAACACTATAGGACAAGAGAACTATGTAGAATAACAGCATTACAAGAGACTGAAATTTAAGATGTATTCTTCACAACCTTTATTTGCAAAAGGAAAGTTTAGTCGCAACACTTGAAACTGAAAATTTTGTTTTGTTTTTAAGAAATAAAACAATGAAGAAATATTCAAACAAACAGCTGTCAGAAAAACTCCCTGTGTGAAGACTGCATTCCCCTCCTCTCATTCAAGAATGGAAAAGATTTAACCTCAATGTCATGTTACTATTGCATTTACTTCTATAGTCTTTAGCATGAACAGACAACACAATTTGTATTTCTTGGAGGCCATCTTTATACATCATAAAAGAGCAATAAATACCACAGAAAATAAATGTTTATCTTTGCAAGTCACCTACAAGGAAAGCAACTCCACCCACACTTTTGTGCTTCCTTTCCTTCAGTGTCCTGCCATGGATTTCACACCTTTACTTGGGTCTGTCTGGTGTATACTACAGTTTCAGGAGTGCTAATTTTTTTAATACTGAAATAGTTACACCAGTATATGCTATACTGTGGATGTAGTTATAGTGGTATAAAAGTGATTATTCATTTATGAGAAGCTACACTGGTAAAAAGCCCTTTTATGCAATACAACTGCATCCATGCCAGGGGCAGCTATATGCTTTAACCACTATTAAACGTCTAAAATAAAAACTGTTTTCCACAAGCTTTTAGTCTAATACACAAACGGTTTAAATGAAGCCATTTAAAATAACCTCTCCACACACATTTAAAACCTTTGTATACACTAGTAAATTCTGAAAGCTTTTTCCAATTCTTAAGAACATCTCACAAATTTGAGTCGAATCCTATTCTTGCTGAAATCAAAGGGAGTTTTTCAACTGTCTTCAATAGGAAGAGTATCAAGCCTTCTGGTGCTTAATACAACCGCTGTTCCATACCTAGTACTAATAGTTAGAATAATCTATAACAGAATTAAGAGTCTGATTAAGATTACAAACTGCAAATCCAATCTCTAACAGGATGAAAAATGTCTAACATTATATTTAGAATACTCACATGGTAAGATCTGCAGTGAAGTAAAAACTGATCTGCTACATTTCAGAAAACAGAAGTCTAAAGAGATGTCAGAACAAATTGCGTAAGCATAAAGTACTATTACAAAATGTAGTAATGCCACAATAGCTGTACTGGAAGCTATTATAGTATTTGTTATTTGATACACATTGCATGGCACTCATTTCCACTGTTTTTGCAGTTGACTCAGACAAACCAGTTTTGATATGGCACAAAACACAGAACTCAGTGTGACTGATTAAATACTAGCAACCCTCTCAGAAAAGTTATCTATTTCCAGATCATGCTAGTACAGTCCAACCCTTTAACAGTTCTGTGCCAAGCACTAGATAATATTTTATAGAATAGCAAGGAATCCAAACATTTGCATAAAAAATTAGTTTGCCTTCTAGGGTCCTCAAAACAATTTTAAAAAGTAAGAATAGTCAGTGTATTAACAAGCCTTTCAACTAACATATATTTGATAGGAAACTCAATATTCAGTCTTTGACCTATATAATGGGGAATTGCTTTCATTGCAGTTTTTAGTAATAATGGGACAGGTACAAGTCATAACATAAACAGGGGCTGCTGTGTGTACTAGTGAAAGAGCTCATCCCTGCTCAAAATGGAATTACCTCCACCAGGCAGTCGAGTCGGCGTGTGTACCTTAGGGGTTGCATTAGTCCAGTTACACTGATGACTGTAATAATGGCAAATGATTAACGTAGACAAGGCCTTCTTTTTGTACTTTTGCACAAGGCTAAAACACTTTGTGAATTCAATCTATTTGAATCCTGAATTTGACCTGAATCCTATATTCCAGTGGTCTCCAACCGTTTTACACCCAAGATCGCTTTTTAAGTGACAGACTAAGCCAAGATCTACCGCCCCGCCCTTTCCTTGAAGCTCCGCCCTCTCTATTCTCCTCCTCTCCATCACTTGCTATCCCCAATCCTTATACTGTTACTTTAAAAAAAAATTCCCACCATTCCTTGCAGCTACTCACCTGTGCTGTTGCTCGGTGAGTAGCTGCTCCTCAAATGAGGAAATCTAATGTAAATGTTCTGCGAAGGTGCGCGGTTCAGAGAGGGCTCAAGAGCTACTCTTAGAGCCTCCGAGATCTACCGGTAGATCGCGATCTACTGGTTGGTGACCACGGCTATATTCCTTAGCAGTGGTGCAAACTGTGCCTACTAAAACTCTGATTTCTCTTACTTGCATTGACATGCATCCTTGTCCAGCTTTTATCTTTCACCCTGCTGCAGTTGCCAAATCCACCCAAAACGACAACAGCAAGATCTCATGCACATTTTTGTATATGAGTAACTATCAATAGAAACATTTATTTTTAGTTTAAGACAATTAGAAAAGCCATTCCACCCTTTGATTTTGTGGGAAGCAACATATTCATTACAAAAAGAGAAAAAAACAGACTGTTGTGGGGCCTTGACATAGTAACAGTATCAATAATTAATTTCTGCTAGGGAGGAGCATGTTGCAAAAAAATACTACTAATAAAAGTAGGGAACACATTTTGTAATAAGTGTTCTGGACTAACCTACTGCAGTTATGTTTAGACCCTACACCATGGCACATCAGTCAACTAAGAATCCATAGTTGACTTTTAGCCAAATAATCTGCATCCGTTTGAAAATCTATAGCCTATTAGGAGCGAGGCCCTGTCTCAGCTCGAGGGACATTCTGAGCATTGCTGCTCTTCTGTTTTCCGTGGTTTTTCAGTGTCCCCTCCTTCCTCTTCCCCTTTGGATGCACAGCATGTATGGGCAGCACACTGATGCCCCTGGCACTTTGTACATTTCTGCTTTAATGCAGAGGCAACATGGGAACATGTGCCACTGTTGCAAGTTCGGCACACCTGACTTTTATCATCCGTCCTAGAAGTCTGAGACCGCAGTGGGGCCTGCTGGTCACCCGCAGCTTGCGGTTGCCTGTTTGACGATGGCTTCAATGGGGCCATCCACTTCATCCAGAGCTTCAAGTCCACATCCCCCCAAGCCATGGTGGGGTCCTTGGCCGCCAGCCGCCTGAAGTCCTCGTCATAGTGCAGCCAAGAAGTGCCGCCATAGGTGGCGTGGAATTTGCGGATGACATCCAGGTATTTGAACATGGCCCCGCACCTGTTGGGGTGCTTCTCGCACAGCACGCTGGCGTACACCAGGAAGGCGGAGACCGCTTCAAGTCCACATCCCCCCAAGCCATGGTGGGGTCCTTGGCCGCCAGCCGCCTGAAGTCCTCGTCATAGTGCAGCCAAGAAGTGCCGCCATAGGTGGCGTGGAATTTGCGGATGACATCCAGGTATTTGAACATGGCCCCGCACCTGTTGGGGTGCTTCTCGCACAGCACGCTGGCGTACACCAGGAAGGCGGAGACCCACTGGTCCAGCGTGTCCCCCAGCCCCTGGCCAGGCTCGTGCTCCGGGGCTAGCTCTGTGTGGAGCAAGGAGAACAGGGCAATGGAATCCCCC